GACTGACTTATTGATTGCTGCCTTCTCGTTCTTCCTTTCTCAAATCTTATCCTGCGTATCCACAGATATCCATTCTTTGTGATGGTGCTTCTTGAGCCCCAGAACCTCATGACATGTAGATTAGTTACTGCCTCCTTGATCTCATTTTAGTTTTTCTCCAAGGTAGTTTCGTAAAGTAGATCGTGAAAGGCTTTGAACGTATTGCTGAGGACGATCTTGCATTCTTTGAGTTTGTCAGTGACCTGGCGAAACGCCGTATTATGCAGTGTCTCTTCAGTTTCAATTTCATCTTGGCGACCAGCAAGTAAGTGATCTGAAGCTACGTTAACTCTCTCTTGGTCCGTACATCCTTGTCCTGAACTTCTTATTGATGAAGATGTGATTAGTTTTGTTTTTTGTATTATTATTCAGTAAAATCCATGTAGTTTCGAGTGTGCGTTTGTTTGAGAATATGGTGCAGCCCATAATTTTTGTTGAAGGTACATCGATTCGCGAATCTCTCGAGGTTCCTTTCTCTCAGTCCATTTCATCCCATGATGTTTTCATATCCAGTATTGTCCATTTCTACCCTGACGTATAGGTCTCCCATCAAAATGGTCAAATCCTTTTCTGGGCCTATTTCAACGATTGACGGCAGCCTCTTGTAGAATTGATTCTTATGGTCCTCATTGTTATCTTTGGTAGGCGCATCTCACTGGATGGAATTCATTGTGATCATCTCCTTCGTGTTGATTGATGCTTTGATCATTCTGAATCCATAAGGTTCTCATCTTATGAATTCTGTTTGAGCTTCTTTGGACAGTATCAGTGCAACATCTTGTGTATGTGAAGCGTGTTCTTCTTCATGACTGGAGTAAAACAGCATATCTCCTGTAGATAGTGTTAGTTGTCCAAATTACGCCCATCTGTTTCACCGATTCCAGTTAACACCAGTTAGTATCTTTTCATTTTCGCAACAGCGTGAATAGTTCTCTTGGTAACCGTAATGTACGAACATTCCATATACTTCAATTATTGGTTGCTCTGGTTTTCAGTAGGAGCCTGGGCCTTATGAATTACTTGGCTTTCACTATGCTCTTCTAATTGAAAACCTTCCAACTGCTCAAGCAGAGTTTAAATGGTTAATTTTTTTTTAGCAAGTTTATTTTCTACGGTATGGAGTGACTAACTCGTTGCCCAACCCTCCTCGTTTATTTGTGCTTTGGAACCAGCAGTAACTTCAGAAGGTCTGTAGCCGGAGTTCCAGTTTGATAATACGAAGTAATGTATTCGCAGCTATTGTTTCATGAGACAATGAATATTTACAAACCAAGCAATTAAAGATCTTCCTATCTATGTACATTACCTTAGTTTTATTAGTAATTTAATGTAATCTAGGAAAATAAAGTACCTAGCATCTGGCTTTACTTTATATGAACAAATCACTATAACTAGCTTCTTTGTTGGTTTTACAATTTAGTCAGTGTTTTTATCCCTTGTAATTTCTTTACTATATTAATATTTCTGTCATGTCATCATAATCTTTATCAGTTATTGATTAGTTTGCATATAAAGTTTGATATCAATGGAATAATAAAATATCATTAGCTTTCTTTCAAAAAAAAAGATATTGACGACAACAATATTTGATTAGTGTATTTTAGTGTACATACAGAAACTTGGTTGTTTCTTTCACGCTACAACATAATAAAAGATGATGAATGTTTACAGTCATATTAGCATTGTTATCATTATTCAAGAATAAATATAATAAAATCTTGTTTTATCTTCCTTGAATATTGTTATTATTGTTAATGGGACATAGATTGAATTAAAGCATGATTGTGTTGTTGTACGCTGATTGGCTCTTTCGTATCCAATCAGCGCTAGCCGATACTGAGAGAACATTCTAGAATCTTTTCATGTAGGAAAACTATAAATAAATTAACGTTTTTTTCCTTTGGACCTTCTGTCTTCTATTCTAACCTTCTTGTTGGAATATATATTCTATTTCCTCTTGGTCAGCTGTGTTCTGATTTTGGGAGATCGTCTCGAGTGAATTGTTGGTGTCCTAGGAATAGCTGGATTGTAATGAAGAGAGAGAATTATAACAATGATCATTATTATTATGATTCATTCTTGTCAGCGACCGACCGTAGCTGCTACCTTGACGTGGTCGTGATGACCCAACCGAGCTATACTGGCTGGAACATATGTTCCTGAAGGTCCTACCATGCCAGGCTGGTCGATTGGAGAACGATCAGACTAAAAGCAGCTACCCAAGGTCTGAGGGCGAAGTCGTACTGCTGACTGCGATGGAGGGGTGTGACAGCAGTAAGGTGTTTCTCTCGGACAACCAGCATGTGTAGCGATGCTGCCTAATCACAAGGAAGAAAGGGTTAGAAAATGTCGACCCTAAAAATGTCACACCTCACCCTACCTCACGGATTTCCGTCTCCTTGGGTAAGGGTGCCCACTAAGGGCCTTTAAGAGCGGAGCTAATACTCAAAAAACCCTTCATAAAAAGGCCATGCGTGACCGGTCTCAAGCAGTTATCCCTTGGGCTCTGCGGTCACGCTCCCAGGTCTCTACGACCAACACTAATCTATCTTCCTTTTCAGGTCCCTCAAGAAACACCCTTCCATGGTGTTGGCAGCCGGGAATCGATAACCGCCCTCATACCCATAACAGCACACGAGACCAAATTGTTCAAAATCAAATCCTTCCTACACCTCCTAGTACCTCTCTTCTCTCCACAACTAACTCTTCTCACATTCCCTTATCTGACTGCACAGCTAATGCAAACGATGCGACTTCAAGAAACCTCATTCCTGTTCTCTTGAAACCTCGTTCTAGACTATATGTTGGAGCATTTAATGTACGGACATTGTGTCAAATAGGGAAACAGGCATCATTAGCTATGACTTAAGGATCTCGCTCAATCGATGTATGCTGCGTCTCAGAAATGCGCATACGGGATCCTAGTAAAATTATTAATTTGATTTCACCTTGTCAAAATAAAGAAGCAGCTCGATTTACTCTTCGCGTATCTGGAAGCCCTGACTGACTGACTGTCAGCGAATTTGGTATTTTTAATCTTTTCATATTGTACATTTAAAGATCATCTCTCTCTATTCACTTGACCATATGGATAATTCAATCTTATATTATTTTTATTTTGTTCATAATAATTAATTCTTCTGTGTTTAAAAAAAAAGATGAAGGTTAATTCTTTATCAAAATTAGATAAAAATCAATTGTATAGTTATCATACTTCAATGTTGTACTAACATCGTTAATTAACACCAAACTACGGGGAATATTTATTGTAAAGTACAGGAAGTGAAGTGAATTTTTAAGGATTTTAGAACTGTATAAATTATTTGTTTTAATATCGCGTGTTGTTTTTTCAATAGTTGTTCAAATAATTGAATTCTTATAGTTCTCTATATTATCTACCTGTCTGTATGTCTATCTGTATTTAATATTCTATTCGAAAGAAGCTACATGAGATAGAATGTAAACATCTTAGATCGTGAGCAATCTAGTGAACATCGTTGTCTAAGTTTATTTCACTAGATTCTACTTCTTGAATAATATCGTTGAACCCTTAAAATTTCCAATTACTGCTAACACTTCTATTACCTTTACTACTATGGGATTTGAAGTGATATTTGCACATTTAGGCGTCCTACAATAGTTGTTTTCCTGGACCTTAAGGCGGCATTTGACTCAGTGGATCGTGATGTTCTGTGGCAGTGTCTGTCATTGAGAGGTGTGCCAAAGAAGTACATTAACCTCATACAAGCTCTCTACTCGAACACCACTGGTCGAGTGAGGGCTTATGGCGAACTGTCACCGGAATTCTCTACATCAAGTGGTGTCCGTCAGGGACGTCCACTTTCTCCATTCTTGTTTAATTTTATCATAGACATGCTCCTAGAAATAACCTCATCCTCGTCTGAATTTTCAGGAGTAGACCTTCTACCAGGTGGCTCGCTTATTGACTTAGAATATGCCGATGACATTGTCGTACTTGGTGAAGATGCTGACAAAATGCAAAGTCTTCTGACTACCCTAAGCAACAATGCAAGCATGTTCGGGATGCGGTTTTCCCCCTCGAAATGCAAAATGATGCCTCAAGTCTGGGTTGCATCGGCACCTGAACTAGTGATAGGGAGTGTAGTAGTCGAGCGTATAGACCGCCTCACTTATCTTGGGAGTCTCATCAGTGCTGGTCTGGTGTGTGTGGCGAAATCTCAGCGTGGATACAAAAAGCTCACTAAGCTTTTGCCAACTTGTGTCACTTATGGCGTAGGCGAGATATCCGTTTGCTGACTAAAGGACGAGTGTACTGTGCAGCAGTTCTCTCCGTCTTACTTTATGGCTGTGAAACATGGCCAGTGAGAGTAGAAGATATTCGTAGGTTACTGGTTTTCTATCGCAGGTGTCTCTGAAGCATTGCACATTTATGTTGGATTCTTCATCACTTTTATCTTTCCGCTTTTTAAGTTCATTTCACTAGTTTATACTTGTTGAATAATATTGTCGAACCATAGTTTTCTCCATTACCGCTAATACTTCTATTCCATCCTCCGATATGTAATTTAAATTGATAATAGCAGCTCTGTGGTAATGTGGTACGCACGTACGAAGTTCTTAGTTGTAATTGACTGACTAACTGACTGAATTTCCTTTTGTAGTGAAGGAGAACACAGGTGAGGGCAACCGAATTGTATTTATCGAAAATTACAGAGTTACTCAGTAAAATCGGAAAACCATATCCTAAACGGTTAATTCGCAAATCTTCATTCCATCATCAATCCATTGTCTGACATTTCACTATTCATGCGTTTCATACAAATTCCATTGTGTTGTAACTCTTCCCTTCTTGATCTTGCCCCATCTTCTGCTGCCAAACATTACGTTGACACTCACGTCATATACTACTTATAAGTAGCGCGCACCACACTTTTAAACTAACCTTTATATACACGCATTTACATATTTATCTGTTTTAGGAATTGTCTACTGAACTTCAAAAATCAGTTAATACTAATAATAATACTAATACAAACGATCGACTAAATACACATTCTACAATTCAATCAACGTCAACATTGAAAAAGCATAAAAGTTGGCAACAAAGATTACGTGATTTAGAACCAGTTGGTTGGATGATATTTATTGGTGATGGTGCACATAATTTTATGGATGGATTATCAATCGGTGTTGGATTTACACAAAGTATCAGTTTAGGCATAAGTTTAACATTAGCTGTGCTATGTGAAGAACTTCCACATGAATTAGGTAAGAATTATTACTTCTTTTTTTTTATTTTTAAAATTTTGCGTGCTATTTTATCCATGAAATGTTTTCAGTGCTTTGATAGATAAGAACTTTGATATACTAAATGTTATGTCTGGATATGTGTGACCTAAATATGGCGAAACACGCATTGAATGAAACCATTATCTAACTGTAATTGTGGGTATGTACTCACGATTAAATGGTGTTATATCAAGGAACGGTTCACTTCGAATGCACACTTACTACTAATAGAGACTGTGATCTATTACAGTTTATGTCAGTATATTATTCAGTCAGTCAGTTAGATGCAACGTAGAACTTCGTACGTAAGTACATCAGTTCATGTCGCCATACCACATCAGCACAGAGATATAATTGTCAATTCAAATCCAATAGTAGAAGAGGTAGTAAAGGTATTAGAAGTAATAGGAGAGGTTAGGATTAGAAGATATTATTCAAGAAATATGATTCAGTGAGAAAAGTTTAGAAAGTCAAAACTAGAGGGGTTGAAGAATCCAGAAGATTAGGATTTGAGAGAACGCAGAGAATAAATGCACCGGCGCCATTGCGAACGGTTTTGAGCCATGTCATTTAGGGTATCTAACCATCGATTATTATCCTCTCGCGGAACCAAACCAGGTAGTCGACAATTAACGACTGTTTTTATGACGTAATATGGTTTAAATCACATAAAACAAAAACACACATCACAATTTTGCTTTCATGTGTAATAAATGGTTAAACATTTATCTCCTATAGTTAACTAATCAAGATAGAATTGACAATTGTCACTTTATATTATTGTCTAAATATTTCAAAGAATAATTTCATCATCTAGTCATTAGCTTAGTTGGTGATGAGATATTATGTGAAATAAATCTTCACAACCCCGTAATGCAATTACCTATGCTCACTAGTGACTAGCTCCGTGAGAAAGCTTCTCATTGTTTTACTGGGAAGTCGTGACCAGTGAAGTTCGAACTGTCTGGGAATAGACAGTAACTACCGAAAACAGTGTATGATATTGCGCAAGACCGTGAATTGATCGAAGTTAGACATTAACACCGTCAGATACCGGCTCAGTGGTCGAAAAGCTGGGCGTTAGCGGGCAAGACTGAAGGTCCTGCGTTCCAATCTTACGAGATGCAGGTGTCGTGGATGCGCACTGCTGATGAGTCCAATATCAGGACGAAACGACCGTCTTTCAGTACTTCCAGGTTTCTAATGATTGTCTAGCACTGATCGATTCATGATTTCACATGAAATAAATCAGTTAAATTTATTAAAAATATTCATGATATTACTACTATCGGTCATTGTATCATACTCAAATTTTTCATAACATTTCTATTCTAAACCAATCAACTATCCACTACTCACCGAAACATTGAATTCATAATATTTCACAAATAGTGCATTTTTATGTACTACTATACAGTAGTGAGTGATAAATAGGTTGTGAATGCATTTCAATAATTCACTATTCAATCAGGCAAAAATCAATCAATATCGCTGAATGTGTGGTGATGTGTTAATTTCAGCTTTGTACATCTGTCATAAATTAGATTGTTGTTACATTCAACATTCAATATCATATTCTGTATAGTAATTTGTTTATGCGAAACAGATGTATATAGTAGTAGTAGTGTAGTGAAGGAGAGCACAGGTGAGGGCAACCGAATTGTATTATTTAACGAAAATTACAGAGTTACTCAGTAAAATAGGAAAACCATATCGTAAACGGTTAATTTGCAAATCTTCAATCCATCATCAGTTCATTGTCTGACATTTCACTGTTGTTCATACGTTTCATACACAAATTCCATTGTGTTCCCACTCATCCTTTCTCTTGATCTTCTTCCCCCATCTTCTGCTGCTAGACATTACGTTTACACTCGCGTCATATACTACTTATAAGTAGCGCGCATCACAGTAGTAGTAGTAGCACTAGTAGTATATCTTTTATCTGCATATAATTATCTATTTATTACTTATAGTCTGAAATGAGTTGTTTTTGTATTTTAATAGTTTAGTCTATATAAGTATAGACGAATTGTTTGATAATTGTCGAAATCCTTAAACACTATTAGAATGAACACTATAAATGATATATATTTATATATGTTTTTAGTGGTTGTAATTCCAAGTATAATTATTTCAATAGACAATTGCTAAATAGAGAGATAATTAAATAAATTGTCAATTCCCAATGTAGTTTTATGAATTTAAACATACCATTATTAGAACAACACGTATAAGCGAACAATATTGTTTTCGATTAGATCGTCATCAGGCTTTACTCTAATATACATGAATATTTATATATGAAAATGTTAAACCAATCAAGGCAATTTGAGTCAATAATCACAATGAAATGAAATAGAGATTACGTCACTACATCTAATAGGCAAAAGTTCAAGTGGATAATAGGAAAACAGGTGTACTGATAGTAGTAAGGAAATTTATAAAATATGATAACTAAAGTAGGTCAAGGGTGGATGAATAGAATTCAAATAATCATCAAAAACATCAAAAACATTACGTAATAAGCAAATGTGTAAAAATAAAATGAAATAAAAAATCAAAAAATAATAAAAATATGTCAATCATTAGTTACGTCATATCCGGCCACGGAAGAGATAGGGGTGTCACGAATTTCTTCTGAACACATAAATTAGGGTTGAATGTACGTATTTCTTACTACTATCAGTACACCTGTTTTCCTATTATCCACTTGAACTTTTGCCTATTAGATGTAGTTACGTAATCTTTTTCATTTCATTGTGATTATCACTCAAATTGCCTTGATTGGTTTAACATTTTCATATATAAATATTCATGTATATTAGAGTAAAGCCTGATGACGATCTAATCGAAAACAATATTGTTCGCTTATATGTGTTGTTCTAATTTTCACAATGGGAATCTTTAAAATACCATTATTATTATTATGTATGCACGGGTGATGATAGATAGATAGATAAATGAGTAAAAATGTTCCTTTTTGTTTCTTATGATACATTTATCTAATCAGTTTTATCGAATAGGAATAAAGCATGAATTGTATGATTTACATATCAACCAAATTTGTCAAAATATTCACAGAATTCTCTTTTTTTTCTCTGTTTGCTTTCATATTTCATCCCTTAGGTGATATTGCTGTACTTCTACGTTCCGGTCTGACTGTACCATTGGCTATGATTTTTAATTTTGTTTCAGCGTGTACAGCTTATATTGGTTTATTTATTGGTTTGTCTGTTGGTGATTTAAATAATGTAGCACCGTATGTATTTGCTATAACCGGTGGTTTTTTTATGTATATTGCTCTTGCAGATATGGTAAGTGGTGGTAATGTGAGTGATTGATAATAAATTTTGCAGTAGAATCGTATTCAGTGTGTTTGTTAATGCAAATTTAGTTAGACTACTATTGAAAAGCTATAAGTACTGGATAGGCTGTCTTGTTTTTTGTGAACGGAATTCATCAGCATTACTTATTCACGACCCTCCATCTGATAATCGAACCGTGTTATGCTCGTCAATTGATACGCTCGAACTATTATGAGTTCAATTTAGTCGGTAAATGAGAGCTAAGACAAATGATCCATTGACATGATAGGCTACTCTAATCCGAGCGTCCCAAGCCCTTACTAACGGTATCAAAAAGTCTTGCTAATGGCGTAAAAAGTGTATTCTACAAGCAATCAGAAAATCGAGATTTTGTACAGAAGAAGAAGAAGAAGAAGAGGAGCATAAAACTTTACAGACAATGCATATTTAAACAGTTAGGTCGACCGTGAATACTAACCAATAAAAAAGAACATTTAAAAGTATGTGAACTTGATATTTTATGACGCCCTATAGACCAATAGAATTAGACTTACAAAATAATTTCTTTAGGATATTTGATGAATATCCTAACAAACCCTATTATGTTTCGTGCATCAACTATTTAATTCATGACCACTGAACCATCCTCCACCCGTGATAATATTTGAGTTTAATTTCTTCACGATTCAACATGATGAATGCACATCGTCTGTAGTGGATAGCCGTTTCATATTTGATATTTGTGAAGTATACTTCCCTGATGTGGGGTCATGATATTTCACCACAGAGGAGTCCTATACTAAGAAGAAACGGGGCGTTCAGTGATTTCAGGTTTTCAGTAGTTGTCCAACTAGCATCATTTCATAACATAAAATTCATCAAAATTCTATAATCTCCACGAAACTCTATACAGATAATATAGATTTCGTTCATTTGTTACGAGGAATCGGTCAATACAATTTGTTTGTATATTGAAAAGAAAACGTTAATCGCATTAAAGTATCATTAAAAGGGAATTAAAATTTTGATTAACTCAAATGACTAATCATTATTACTTTTGTAATAATGATAATACCGTGTGTCACTTTGTTTTTCGAATGTTTGTCAGTTAAGCTTCATATACATTGATACATCTACATTTGGCATTTGATACTAATGTATGTACATTTTTTGGAAGGGTTGTAATGTTCATATATATATATATATATATATATATATATATATATATATATATATATATATATATATATAAATTACACTCAGTTACGTCCTAGGTAGGGATGGCAGAGCAATAGATGAAGTAGTGAAACTTCATCAGTCGAGGTGGATGGGACATGTGTTACGTATGCTTAACGACCGACTGCGTTGTTGAGCTTTGTTTTTTGCGATGTAGGAATAGGTCGGAAAAAGTTAGGGGCGGCCAGACCAAGACTTGGCATAAATCCATGAAGTCATTGACAAGTGGACTGAGCCATGTCAGTAGGTGTCGACTACCTGATTGGGGCCCACGAGATGATAGTAATCGATGGTTAGATACCCTGAATGACATGGCTCAAAACCGTTTGCGATGGCGCAGGTGCATTCATTCTTTGTGTTCTTTCGAGTCCTAACCTTCTGAATTTGTTACGCAGACACGTAAACACGTCATGCTTGAACTATTACGAGTTTATCTTATTCGGAATACCAGAGCGAGGATCGAGTATCCGGCGACACGACATGCTAATCTAATCCGATTATCCCAACCCCCATCGATTAAAAAAAGAAGACTTGATATAAAGTAGAACCTGTATTTTACAAGCAGTCAGTCAGTTGCAACGTAGAACTTCGTACGTAAGTACATCAGTTTATGTTGCCATACCACATCAGCACAGAGATGTAATTGTCAATTCAAATCCAATAGTAGAAGAGGTAGTAAAAGTATTAGAAGTAATCGGAGAGATTAGGGCTAGAAGATATTATTCAAGAAGTATGATTCAGTGAGAAAAGTTTAGAAAGTCAAAACTAGAGTTGTTGAAGAATCCAGAAGATTAGGATTTGAGAGAACACAAAGAATAAATGCACCGGTGCGATTGCAAACGGTTTTTGAGCCATGTCATTCAAGGTCTCTAACCATCGATTATTATCATCTCGCGGACCCCAACCAGGTAGTCGACAATTACTGACATGGCTAAGTCCACTCGTCAATGACTTCATGGATTTCTGCCATGTTTTGGTCTGGCCGCCTCTAGCTTTCTTCCAACCTATTTCTACACTACAAAACAAAGTTCGTCGAGGCAGTCGGTGGTTGGGCATACGCAACACATATCAAACATGTCCAGCTACATTAAATATAAATGATGTGTTTATGTACAGAACGGATTTCGTTTGTTGACTGTTTCATATTGTACAGTATTTTGTTCTGGTCTATAAAATATGTAGTTCTTCATCGTGTTAATTAAATCATTCATTTAAGTATGTCAGTAGTAGTTGTACATGGTTTAATAATTAAAATTATCTAATGTGTCTAGCATAAATAAGATTGATGAAATTGCGGTACATTGTGTCTATTTTCTTTTTTCTCTTCCTGATAAAAAAAATGTGCTACACTTAACGCTTTCATTTTACTTTCTCACGTATTATTATTATTTAATTATGTATTTATAGCTTCCAGAAATGCGTGCTATGGAAGATGCTAAACGTATAGAGAATGGTAATTGTTGGGCAATGTTTTTCACTAATCTTGCTGGTCTATTATTTGGTTTTGGATGTATTGTTACCATAACACTAACTAGTCAATATATTAGTATTTAAATGTTCAATTTCTTTTTTTCAAAGATGAATTAATTTATTGGAAAATGTATGATTATATTCTTCCTTTTTTTTAATTTATTTATTTTGTAATTTACCAAATCAAACAATAAACACGAACAATTTATCAATCCAACGATATATATATATATCATGATTTCATTTGTTCATTTATTCACTGCCTTCTCATATATAACTCTTTCTCCTTCTTCTTCTTCTGTAATTATCGACTTCCTTATTTTGTTGATATTCTTCTATGAAATTATATTATTCTTTTCAATATTATTTTTTTTCATCTCTTTTTTTTCAAATATTAACTTTTCTCGACAGTGGTTTCATTTCACCACAATATATATATCTATATATATGTTTTGTCTCCCTCTATTTTTTCGGTCAATTATAAAAATAAGTGTATATTATTATTTCACCTTGGTCACATTGATGTATTTATATTTCTCCCATCTTTGTATTGATCGATCGATCGATCGATTAATTAATTAATTAATCAGTTAACTGATTCATTCATTCATTGATTGATTGTCTGTAATTAAAACAACACAATAATGCATTACAAACATAAAAAATGGATTAATTTTTTACTTCAGAGAAAAAAAAAACAAACAAACGAATTTCCCGATATCACTTTTTTTTATTCTATGATGATATGAAAATTGTTTTTTTTGTTATTTCTAAATTTTATGAGGAAAAAAACTTTTGTATCAAAAAGTGCATTGATTTGCTGAGCGTTTTTTTGTAATTGTAATAGGCACATATATAAATATAAATATATATATGTATATGTATGATATTGTTTCTTATTTGCTCAATGTGAATATATATATATATATACATGTTCTGTGCATTATTATTATTTTTCTATGAACTTCCACCTTTATTCTGTCTTACTTAACTGTACAATTGTCTGTCTTTGGTTTCGTTAAATCTATTTGTTCATATCTTTGCTATTATTAATACTACTACTGGTATCAATATGATAACACCAATAATCATCATCATACTGGCTACTGTGGTGATTGATTCTCACTGTATTCATCACACTGTTACTCATATAGACACCCGCACACACACACACACTGGAATGTTCTAATTGTATTCAAGTTACTCTTGGGGCATTCAAATTTGATTTGAATTGAATCCAGAGACATGAACTCAATCATCTTGTGTGTATATGTGTGTGTGTGTATGTATGTGTATGCGCATAGATGATGGTATTGTAGTGAATGAGAACACAGGTGGAGGCAACCGAATCGTATTTAACGAAAATTACAGAGTTAGTCAGTAAAATCGGAAAACCATATCGTAAATCGTTCATTTGCAAAAGATCAGTTCATACTATGGAACTGGACTGTTCCTGTTGCCAAACATCAATCCATTGTCACTCTTCATGCGTTTCATACAAATTCCATTGTTTTCTGACTCTTCCTTTCTTGATCTTCCCCCCATATTATGCTACCAGACTTTACGTTGACACTCACGCTATATACTACTTATAAGTAGTTCGCAACACAGCACCACAGTATGACCAACTGTAACATTTCATGTATACACCAATATTTAGGCATCATTGATAATATTGTCATTGACACTGGTAATCTATTACTTTATTATTACACGTAATGATATATATATATATATATATTGCCGAGATTAATATGAATATACTTGTATTCTTTTCATTTTCATTTTTTTTTTATTCAATGAAACTAAATAAAACTAGTTTTTCCATGATTTTCACTTACCTGTAAATTAGTACAAACATTGCTGTCGTGCTTTGTTTGTTTTACTTTTTAATTTGGAGATATAATCAGTAATGAATTTTGCTATTTGATAAGAAAAAAATGATTGGTTTACTTTTTTTTGTGATCTTACAAATAAAATAAAAAAACTTTTACAGAAAAGAAAAACAATTTTTTTACTAGTCAAATTTGTTGATGATGTTTTTTTCATATAAAATTTCTCAGTAATAAAAAAAATGAACATTGAATGAACAGTCAAGAGAATTGTTTAAACGGTTCTTTGGTGAAATAATCAGATCGATGAGTAATCAAGAGTGATTTTGTAAATATTAAGTGTTCCACGTATTTTTTTAATTCATTTATTTCTTGTTAAGTTGTTGTGAAATGAATGTGTTCTTAAATATCATTTCCAATCGCTTGTAAATAAACCAGTGACACAATGCCATTCTACAATACACACTTATTATTGGTTATAAAGTAAGTACTTGTTTCCGAACAACAGCATTGCTTACTCGATGGTCTCAGTATATACGAGCAATGCTTAGAAGACATTTGTAATCGAATACTAGTAGCCTAGGAAAATACTCTACTCGTACTGACCAAGTTTCTCATCCGTATGGTAGGATGGAGCGAACTGTTGCACAGTAGTCTCGTCCTTTGGTTAGTTTACGTATTTCTCGCCTACGCCATAAATGACACAAATTTGCAAACGCCAGTCGAGCCTCCTGTATGCGTGACGAGATTTCAGAAGACACCATGTAATCAGGACTGATGAGACACTGAAGACAAGTGAAGTGGATAACACGCTCAACTAATTCACTACTTATCGCTAGTTCAAGTGTTGATGGGAGCCAATACTGAATCAACATTTTGCATTTCGGCCGGTAGAACCGCATCCCTAACATGCTTGCATTGTTGCTTAGGGTAGTCAGAAGGCTCTGCATTTTGTCAGTGTCTTCGACAAGTGGAAATATGCCATTGGCGAGTCTCTTGATACAAGGTCACAAAGTTAAACAAGAATGGAGAAAGTAGATATCCTTGACGGACACCACTTGAAATAATGAGTTCCGACGACAGTTTGCCATAAGCTCTCACCCGACCCGTAGTGTTCGAGTAGAGAGCTTGTATAAGGTTAATATACCTGGTATTGGTACTCCTTTCTATGACAGATACTGCCTTAAGGTCCAAGAATACAACTCGTGTCGAACACTTAAACGTGTCTGTTCTAGGACATGAGGAAGTGTGAATATCTGGTCTGTACAGTCACGTCCAGGTCTGAAACCAGCATGATTTTCTCTAGTCTGCTCTTTACGAGCTGTAGTTACGCGTCGAAGTATTATTGAAGGTAGTGTCTTAGAGACTATTGGTTAAACTGATTGTCACAAGAGGACTTTGTTCATTTCTTGGGACAATCAGTGATTCAGACCTGTTGGAGTGGACTACGCTCAGTTCCCGAATTCTACCTAAGGTCTCAGTCAATCTAACTGCCAAAACTGGGCATCCATCCTTAAAAATTTCAGGGGTTAGAACCCGGCGACTTCAAGATAGCTCTCAGCAGTAAGTCACAGGCCTATTGTGAACTACCACAAAGAACAACTGAAAAAGATCAAGAAGGCAATAACTTCTTCATGTCAGGAGTTTGAGAGCCACAAAAATCACCTTCATAAGGAACTTAAGAAAGAACAGGAAGGCAGCAATCAATAACAGTCGAACAAGAACAGAGAAAGCTAAGACAGCAGCTAAATATACAGAAGCAAGTAAAGAGGATCATGAGAGCCGACAAACTTATATGTGAAAGATATAGCAATGACAGTGGAAAAGGCTGCAAGAGAAGGAAACTTGAGATGATTGTATGATACAACAAAGAAGCGCACTGGAAACTATCGTAAACCAGAGCGACCACGAACAAAGAAGACAAGTTAGTTACCTATTTTCAAGAACAGTGAAACAGATGCATATAGCACTTAAGAATTCTCCAATGAGCCAGCTGTGGCATTGGAAGCAGACCTATGAGTAACTGGAAAGATTTTCCGATACAATACTACATGCATCAACGAAATCACACTTGACAGAGAAGCTTTCCAAGAAATAAATATGCTTGCATACCTGGGTAGTATCATTGATAAACAAGGTGAATATGGTGCAGATGCAAAGGCGCTGATTGGGAGAGCCAGGACAGGATTTATACTATTGAAGAACATCCGGAACTCCGAACAACTGTTAACCTACATCAAACACAATTTCTAATGCAAATATCAAGACAGTTTTACTGTATTGAGCGGAAACTTCAAGAACCACAAGTGTCATCCAAACGATGTGGGTGTTGATTAACAGTTGTCTACGCAAGATTCGTCGGATCCGCTGGCTGGACACCGTCAGCAACAATCTACTGTGGGAGACAACAAACCGAATTCCAGTAGAGGAAAGTATCAGGGGAAGCACTTGGAGTGGATAAGACACATTAAGGAAAGCACCCAGCTGCATCACAAGACAATCCCTCAACTGGAACTCTTAAGGACAAATGAAAAGGGGAAAGTCAAGGAACACACTGCGTCGAGAAATGAAGACAGAAATGCGAAGAATAAACAAAAACTGAACAGAACTGGAAAGGGATGCCCACGGCAGAGTAGGCTGAATAATTCTGGTTGACAGCCTATGCTCCATTTGGGGTAACAGGTGTAAGTAAGTAAGTGCGTTAGGTCCATAAAACTCTAATATCTTGTATCAATTAATTGAAAAGCAGTAAGCCTTTTATTTCGAAAATATATAACACAATTTGAAATCTCGCAACACGTATTCGTCACTTCAGAGTTTTAGATATGTCCTAAGAATGAATGGTAATGACATCAAAGTTCATAGGTTCATGTACATTTCTATTTGTTTTTTTGTGGTTTGAATTTCACTGTTTTTGATTGATTTCGAATAGCAATTGACCAGTCTTGTTTAATGGCTGTTCATTATCATCAAAAGTCAAAAACAGTCCTAAAAGCAGAGGTGAATATTGACAAACAGTGAACTCCAGGACATGTAATTCGTTATATTTGCTGATTCTGAGGCCTACCAATCCGATCATCATTTCTAGTGTGAACAATAACAATAGGTTGCAGGCATATTTAGCTGATTAGTCTGTGGTGTGAGCTACTTATAAGTAGTATATGACGTGAGCGTCAACGTAATGTCTGGCAGCCGAAGATGAGGGAAGATCAAGAAAGGAAGACTTAGAAAACAATGGAATTTGTATGAAACGCATGAATAGTGAGTGACAATGGATTGATGTTTTGCAACAGGAACAGACCAGTTCGATATGATGAACTGATATTTTGCAAATTAAATGATTTACGTAATGGTTTTCCTATTTTACTGAGTAACTCTGTAATTTTC